CTAGATTATCTCACCGCATTACGAGTCCGAACCGCGATCCTGACATTTCAGTCTTGCCAGCAAGGCAAGAAATACATTTCTTGAGCAAGATAGTGAACAGATTGTTTCAAGCTAGTTCCTGGCATCAAATAGATTAAACACAAGAAGGTTATCAGCTACGTTAAATCCATTACTTTTTAGGAGTCGAGCATTTAGCCGAATTTTTAAAACCGTAACTCTAAACGGCAAGGACACTTGAAGAAACTTACAAATCAATTGTACTACGAATAGCAAGAAAGCAGAAAAGTACAACCATTTTGCAGATTCGAACCTGCCAGACAGTAATACTTTTCTGCTGTTCGTATTTTCTGTTTGAAAAAAAACATTTTGGAGAGTTGTGTCTCGAACATAAAATGTGGCAAATTTAATTTTCTGAATTTTATGTCTTTGGATCAGGTTTAAGAAATCGCTCTTCATGCTGAAAAACAGTAAATACCGTTTTACATCCTGAAGATTGATTTTTACAAAGTCGAGTTCGGCAGATAAAATTTAGGAAATTAAATTTGCTACATTCTTGTCTCTAGATTCAACTTTGGAAAACTCTTTCTTAATCATAAAAAATCAGAATATAGCCCAAAGGCAGTATTTATCATTTTCACGATGAAGAAAGAGTTTTCCAAAGTTGAATCTAGAGACAAGAATGTAGCAAATTTAATTTCCTAAATTTTATCTGCCGAACTCGACTTTGTAAAAATCAATCTTCAGGATGTAAAACGGTATTTACTGTTTTTCAGCATGAAGAGCGATTTCTTAAACCTGATCCAAAGACATAAAATTCAGAAAATTAAATTTGCCACATTTTATGTTCGAGACACAACTCTCGAAAATGCTTTTTTTCAAACAGAAAACACCAATCTCTAAAATATCTTCTCAATGATTTCATCACTTATGAACTACTACATGTGTACCTTAGTTGGTTAAATCGCGTACTTCCAGTCTCAATTCCAATCCAATCCATCCGGTTAACCGATAGGTAACCTACTAGATAACCATCCTCTTATTACATATATTTCGTCTTCGGAACTAGCTTAACCCGCTATACTTAACAGTGTATAGCGTAAATCCGGCGTTTAACTCCGTCTTTTCCGTAGAAGTTTCGGTCCAAGTTTCGGCTTATAGTCGACATATAGATTAAAAACGATCGAGCATTCATTGATGTTAGTCACAGGTTCACACGAGAAGTTCTAAGAGACACAATGACTAAATCAAGAGCAGAACACACTGAGATTTCCGGAGATACTCTTAGACCTACCCTGACTAACACCAATGAATGCTCTATCATTTTTAACCTATATGTCGACTATAAAGCGAAATTTCTATGGAAAAGACGAAGTCAAGCGCCCGATTTATGTTATAGGTAACATGATTGCTGTATCTCGACGAAGGAAAAGAATTGGAGAAAAAGGCTGCTTCGGTTTTATCAACTTGATATGGCAAATCTAACTATGTAAAGAAATTGGAATTATCTCGCTTCAAACAGTACTTGATAGATTTTTCATGAGAAGGAGAGAAATTTTACCTATAGATCGCAATCGCAACTTTCACACATTCGCGTAATAGCTGAGTGCCCCCAAACTATGCTTTCTTACAAAGGGTTTTTGAGAATACTAATAACATCGAGTCGATCCCACAATTTCAGTCGTTGTACAGAATACAGGCACAGAACAGTGGATTTAGTTTTGCAGTTTACTGCAAAGCTAACGAGGGAAAGGTCCATAGTTGATACCCTCTGATTTCGATGACCTTTTGCCGATAGATACTATATGATGTCCTAGTCTTAACCTCCAATGGATTTGGTTGTATAGTTCTTCTCTCAAAAGTTATAAATTTGTTTAGGATTGGCCAGCTACTGGAGATCCGAATTTATCATTGTTTACTTTCGGCAAACGTTTTTTAGGTTTTCATTTTCTCCTTGTTAACAGCTTTTGTTTCATCACTTGGTCTTTTCTACTACAGACCTAGAGCATACATATGGCTTTTCCTCTAGATTTCCTTCAGTAGATGGAATAATTTGGAATATTTTCTTGTTAACTGGTTGACGCCTGTTTTATCATTCGTTAAAATAAACCGTTGGGGATTTATTTTAATTAATTTGGCAAAGTAAGTTTAATGCTGAAGACGCAGTCTTCGCTGCCGTTTGTGTTCATGCAACCCTGATGAGAACATTAAATGAAAGTAATAACAATATTATGTGATTACAGTTTTATTTGGAGATTTTCTGTTAAATATAAAAGATAAATTAAGATTAGCGGTATCACACCAAGAAACAATTTTTTCGCAGTTCTAAAAGTGGACTCGGTGTAATATAACACTCCATAGGGACTCATCTCAAAACGTTAAAAACTTTTCAAACAGGCCGGAATGTAGAGCAGATTCTGCTTTATCTAATAGGAACTACACAGCAAAATCAGCGATAGACAAGCATTTTTCAATCACAGGTCACGCTATCACAAGCACTAATTTTGAGATAGTATTACGAGAGAAACATCGTTATAAACTATTAGTAAAAGAATCGTTAGTTATTAGAGCAAGCTCTCCTTCTCTTAATGGTACGGATCGCTCAGTGCCATTGTATGTATATTCGAATGGTATTCAGTTGGATCCATTGGGACAGGAAAAACATGCCACGAAAAGGTTCAGGTCTTTATTCTATAAACGACGAGAAAAATCACGCCATATAAATGGACGAAAGGAGAAAATAAGAATACAAAGAAATAGAGAAACCCCATCAATCTACATCTATTCTGCTTATTTTTGCTTTTACTTTAACGTAGTCACTCTGTATGTTTTTTGCACTTGATAATGACCGTATGAAATAAAAATTGAAAAATTACAAAATAAAAATATATATTCAACATTGCAGTTCATTAAATTATATATATTACTCATACAGATGCAAAAGCTCTATAATGAATCAGAATGATTCACGCTATATGTGTTCAAGGAAATGATAATAAACAGAGCAAGTGAATCAGACACTTGGAGATAAACGAATATTAAAAGCTTTTATCACTATAGTTGTGTGTCAATACTGAATTGGTGACATTTTCTCTACATGTATTTGAAAGAAAAAAAGAAATCTTGCATAATAGAAAAAGAACAGAAGCAAGTATGATATTTTATACACACAGTGTATGATATTTGATATTGAAGTCTTTATCGAAAACTAAACCTTAATCAAGTCATAGAACAGAATGAATGGATAAGAAATACTTTAACACATTGCATGCCGCAGACGTAGATTTATGTCTTTTGCCAACCAAGCATATAATGCCGAAGACTTAAATCTACGTCTTTCACTTCTCATTAAAAAAAATATCGGTTCTGTACATACTACTACTATCTGTTTCAAAATATAGTGCGCACGGTTGTTTTTTGAATAACTCTGAAACGAAAACTGAAGCAGTTTTTACCCATGCTCCTCATCAAAATTTAATCTAAAAAAACTTGTATTCAGTGGTCAACAAAAGTGATCATAAACCCATCATTTTAACTTATGATTGAAATTTCTCCGAAACGAAATCACTTGTAAAGTTCGGAGTTTCGCTATCCACATCAACTATACGTTTGACAGTAATGTATGAAGATCGATTGAATAAAATATATGAAGAAAACCGAACAATCGATACTTTAGATGATTATGCACATTATCAAAAATACAGAGAGCAAACATTTAAAAAATTCGATATGAATTCAAAAGAAATGTTAAATCCTATTGAAAAAAATGCAGATAAAAGATTAAGAGTCTTTTAGTGGCAATATAAAAAAATAATTCGGCAATAATGAAGTTTTATAAAAAAGAGACACATAATTCCTTTTAATCTGGTGAAGAACCTGTCTCCACATAAAGTTCAAGTAAAAAAATCCAACACGCTTCTTCGACTGTTCTTTCTTTTCGAGAAAAAGACTCAAAAGATTGATATGAAATAGTTTCTACAATGATAGATACTTAAAAATATTTGTGAATATCGATCGGAAAGCAGAAACTACAACAATTAATTTTTCTCATTTCGCACTTTTCTATAGAAAATTTGGACTGCAGACTCACTCGCACTATGAAAATTGTTCAAAATATTCAAAACTCAGTGAATTAACATGGTATTTACTGCTACAAGAAACGTAAGCAGTTCCAATGAACATCATTTTGCATGACAGAGAGAAAAGAAATATAAGAGAGATGCATTGTGTGAAAATCAGTTAATGATATAAACCGTTATTGTGCTTTAACAGTATTCATTTCATTCATTGGATCTTTAGCAATGAATGGAATAAATACTGAATACTGCTGAATACTACTATGAATACTGTCCGTTTCCCAAAGATTCCAGTTCTCAACAGTTCCAATTAAATGGGATCGGTGCATACCTACTATCTGTTTCAAAATATAGTGCGCACGATTGTTTTTTGAATAACTCCGAACTTATAGACTGACTACATATATCTGCTATATGTAGCTTCGTTTATCACGTCACTTGATTCTTTACCATCTTAATGGTAACTTCCAAACTACTGGTTTTAAGACATGAATCTGTGTTCGTTTATAGCGACATAGTGCATAACTTAATGTTTTGTATCAAGATGAAGAATTGTATTGTTGTTTATTGATGAGGTTATAGAACTTTTCCACTGCTTGTTAGCAACTTTGCTCAAAATAACGCAATGCCTGTTCGTACTTCTTTTTACTGGAGTCTGCCTTTTTTCTATTACATATGTAATCGCCTACATATGTGCGATTACTCATGCAAGGAGAAAGCCATAGGAATGATTAACTCCGATTACACCTTTCTAATGTGTATTTTTTTCTTTCTACTTTTTTTACTTTTTCTTTTTACCAACAGAAGTGTATATAAACCTGAAAAAGAACTACAGTAATTGTATTTCTTCTCTGCTCTGCATGCGAAAGAATAAGTTACTGCACGTTATTCTTCTCTCTTGTTCTTCTCTCTACAAAAGTAAAAAAAATGAGTGCTGTTTCCTACATCGCTACTCCTATTCTGCAGCGTCCGCGTAATTTCGAATGGTTTTGGAGATCAGATGACGATTCCCGGTCTGCAGCTAACAGCGAACAATGGAAGAAGTTTAGCGACGTTGAAAATGAAATTCTTGAGGATGGATGGAACGAAAAGCGCAAAGAAGTAGAAATTGACGGGAATTATATCATTAACTTTTCCGATCAGGTACAATATCACAAAGATAATGACCGAAAACAACAAGCAGTTAAGCGAATCCAGCTAGACAAAGATCGAGGCAGTGCTGATCCTATTATGCGTGAAGAACGGTTTTTAGCACCAATCGCGCTTGCAAACAGCTCATTAGTAATCAGTCCACAAATACAAAGAAATAATGATGATAGTGAACCTGAGTGGTGGGGCCTCGTCAAACTTGGTCACATTGCACATGCTTATCGTTTATCTGAACTAAAGGGAAACAAAAAATCAATTGCCAATGTCATTGAAGATGCAGCTGATGGTATAGTGAAAGAGGGAACTGTACTAGGCAAAGCTTTTGAGGCAAAATGGTTATCTGAACAACTTTTAGCAGTGAAAAATTTTGGTGTGGACTGTACGGCAAAAGAAGAGGATTGGCAGACTGACTATCCTACACAAATTGGTGAAACCTGTATTAATCTCTATACAAAAGAGTCGTTTTTGTACAAACTAATGAACTCTACTCTTCGAAACGCAAGCACTATCACTCGTGAGAGATTCAAAACATTAGGTCCGTTCATTTGGCTGCTCGATGAATATTTGGGCCGTATTAAGACAATTGAGACATTGACACTTTACCGAGGTCTCAATCTCGATGAGGAACAACGAAAGCAATTTATGCAACAATTTGTAATATTCAACTCGTTTACTTCAACCAGCAAGAGTAGGCAAGTTGCCGAGTTCTTCCATGGCAACACTCTTCTGATATTAAACATTGATGGGCAGAATGAAAAACTGATTGGCTGGCATGCAGAAAAGTTTGGTGCGAGTATTTCTCATTGCTCAGCTATTCCCAGTGAAGAAGAATATCTCCTGATGCCTACAGGAAACTTTCGTTTTGTAAAAGCTGAATATGATGATACAAACAAGACACACCTCATTTATCTGACAACGCCAGCTTTTATTTACGTGAGATGAGCAAATATTTTATTTATTTATATTTTATTACACACTACAAATTCCTTCGAGAGTTACGACATGTTATAAAAACTTTTAGTATTCGTTCATCTCCAAACGTCCGATTCACTTGCTCTGTTTATTAGTATTTCATGAACACATAAAATGTGCATTATTCCGACTCATTATACATGTTGCACATACAGAATTATAAAATC